ACAAATACTCAATTCATCAAATTATATAGGGTTAACGCACTTTTTTCCGTGTTATAACGTCTGCATAGTCCCGAGGAACGGTTGGTGCCCGAGCCCGGTAGGGCGAGGGCTCCAACAGTTCCGAGGGACTCTGCAGACTTTATAACACGAAATAAACGTGCGTTGACTCTATTATAGCATACAATTTTCAAACAGATTCGTGATGTATAGTTTATACAAAACACAATTACATTAACTTATTGTGCTTGGACGGTATTTATCCAATTCTATGTTTTACGTATGCGTTTCATTTTTCCGGGGCCAACAACTTGGAAAATTCTCGGAACCGAACTAAATTTTGAATTTTAATTGATTTAACAAAGCTTGGCCTTTGGAGATTTATTATCTCAAGAAAAAAAACGTTACATTACTCTACCCTCTACCCAAGACAAAACATGACCCTCAGAAATTCTAAGAATGATTTCAGATTGACGGTAGAAAAAGATCAGTGACATCAGAATCGGTTTTTTTTTTCAAGCAAACAAGTTTACAAAAAAATCAGGCACTAAGCATTATTCTCTCAAAGAAATATAAAGAGCATTTATCAACATTAACATAAATAAAAAAAACATTTTCTCATATTAATTTTGTGTTATTTAGTTTTGTAAGTTAATCGGAGTGTTAAACTGAATGACAGGTAGATTCTACTGTATTTGTTTACATTGACAACTGTCCGTTTCTTAGAAAGGGCGACAACCAAGATTAGCACCGATGTCTATACGCCGTTTTTCCGGCATAGTTACTTGAATATGCGACTGGGGCCCTCGAATCAATAAATTTCAATATAACAAGAGCGCATGACTCTTTGGCAAACAGGCCAAATCGTCATTTTTTGTTTGTTTGTTTACTGGGCCCTGTACGTATTGCGCATAGGTGAAACCGGGCTATAACAAGAGCGCGTGACTATGTTAACACATGGTTTTGCTCCCGTTATAACATGGGCAAAAGAGGGAAAAATAGCCGATTTTATGCTATAATGTAAGTTCATAAATTGTTTTAAATTCATAGAACATTGATTTTGAGTGCTTTTGGGGGAACTCCCCAAGGGTTGCAAAAGAGTTAAATGTTAATAAAAAACCCCTCCAAAAACATGAGTGATTGTTTTTTAAAGCATTTTAAAATTTAAAAAATAAAAAATTAGGGCCAAATAAAAATTTTTTAAAAACCCCCTTTTCGGGCATTTCCCAATTTGTAGGGGGGCCCAAAAGGTTATAAAAAATTTTTTTTTTTAAAGCTCAAACTGTATTTTAAAATTTACCTTGGGTTATAGATTTTCCCTGTTTATTTTCCCAAATTTTTTTAACCAATTTTAAACCCCCCTTTGACAAGGGGAAAGCTCTGATCTGTTTTGGTCAGAATAAAAGGATAGAATCCCGCACTGATAAAAATAAAAAAATTTTTGGGAGGTCGGGGGGACCCCCTCGCAGACAAATTTTAAAAACCCTTTGGGGCCCCTTACAAGGGTCATACAAAAAAGCATGGTTGTGTTCCTTTTTTTTAAGGTTTTACAGACACCATTGACCAACAGGCCATCTGCATTAACCTATTAGCATTCACTGAAGAGCCTTATTTATAATGTTTAATAGGAAAATAAAAAAAGGTTATCCTTTGTTAAAAAATAGCCATTACAATTTGATTAAAATGCAAGATGATTGTTTATTTAAAATGTATAATTATAACATCAATGTTTTATTATGTTCATATATATATTTGTACCTCATCAAGCAGATATGCAAAATGGCAGTTCTAGTAGAAGGGGTATGACAGAAAATTATACTATACAAACATTTTATTATCCCTATCTCTCTACTATATTACCTTCTTCAAACCTCAACAAATGAACATTAAAAGAAAATGACAAATTTCTCTCTTAATTTACATATTTTCTTTTTGTTGTCGATTGTTTCTTCTGAATATTATTTTCTAGTGGTGTTTTTTCTATTTACAATTATTATTTCCTCATTTCTCTTTTTATATTACATCTTTTTTGTGCAATTTGGTCAAGAATTTTAATTTTGTTTTCTTATTTTTTTTCCCTTTATGTAGGGCAGCTTTAAGAAAAGTTTCAATCAACTTTCAGGTTATTATGAAAAAAAACTAACATGTAAAAATAATTATAGAAAACCAAATCAAAATACCCGGTACGAATAAGTTTTTATATTTATTTTAAAGAAATTTGTAGTAAATAAATTTTGAAATAGATTTACCAGGAACACATATTTGTCACTTTCTGTAAAGCTTGATTTTACCTGCATTTTCATACCGCTTTCAAACCCCAGCAAACTTTACTTGTAATGTTATCTTTATTTTCTCCCTTTCCTGTAATATAACTGCTGTTTTAAACAGACCCTTAATTTTGTGTCTATTTATATACAACAGCATTGCCTTATGAATTTTGCCATTTCCGACAGAATTTGTATTACTTTTGTAATATCTGTGTTGTACATTTGTGTTACATTTCTGTGTTAACCTATTCTTTTGTTGCTAAAGGGTTAAATTATAAATATTGAGTAGCAATTATAGGGGTATTATATATTAAGATGTTTGGTGTATTTTCTGTATTTTACAAAGCAGATTTCTATAGTCTATAAAATATTTCTGTGTTAAAAAAACTATTTTTTCTTGCATAATGCACTGTTGCTGGCTATTTAAATTTGATAAATTAAATTTACAATTTGGATGTTAAGCATCAATCAATATTTAACAATGTTTAAGTTAGGAGGGAATACATGGTTAGCTTATTGGATGTTGGTATTTCTACCTGTCCTGCACATACCTGTAATAATACACAAATTGGGCACCTGAGATTTTTCTTGACACTACTAAGGTTGCTATGACAATTACAATGTCAGTATGGCTTAAAACTCAATAAAAATAATAACTTTACAATTTAGGCTTGTGGTATCTGGCCTGACTTGAGTATGATCCACAGTAATCCAGGCTATTTTAACTGTATACCAGTATTAAATGTAGTATATACAGAATGTGTACCGTGGGTCAGATGATGGACATTATAACTGAACTTCCCTAGAGTATCATAATGGACAGTTCCAAATTCAAAGCAGGAGGAGTCTCTTACATAAATAAAGGGAGGGAAGGATTACATAAATAAAGGGAGAGAAGGGTTACATAAATAAAGGGAGAGAAGGGTTACATAAATAAAGGGAGGGAAGGATTACATAAATAAAGGGAGGGAAGGATTACATAAATAAAGGGAGGGAAGGGTTAAAATTGTTTAAATTTGCATTTATAATTTATCTCTGTTTATCATTGACAGTTTTAATTGGATATTATTAATTAATTTTTAGTCAAATTAAAGAAGTCAGCAATGGTTCATGAAATATTTTGGTAACTTTTTATTGTACATCTTTTTGCAGTTATTCGTTTTAAATCAAAAGGTGACTGAAAGTAAAAAATATAAAGTGTATTTACACATTATCTATTTGTAAAATTAAGATATTCAATATAAGAACTTTATAATATGATTTATAGAATGTATAATGTACAATAAATATTTATTATTTTGAAATATTTCTTATAAAAAAAACATAACTTTACAACTTTTACAATTTATATACAAAACTGTCTGTAATCTTTATACAAAATTTATCTTTTATTATCAAATTATCCCTAGACATATGTGTTTTTTATCAATGCATAAACAAACTTCGAGTATTTCTTGTTTATCAGCAATTATAATTTTTCTATTAGTATGCGATATTACCACATCTACCAAAGAGAGGCCTTAATTATGAATATACATGTATAGTATCTATATGAATGATAAAAAGTCATGTAGCCTTTTTCCTGTCAATTACCAATAGCTCTTTCATTCAATTAAAGATATTTTACAATATTTACAATTAAACAGTAATAATTAATTGAAAAATAAATTTCTTGTTGATGTAAATAAAAGACTATTCTTTCATTAGCATTTATTTTAAATAAATGTTATAGAAATTATCTTAATTATTTTCATATTTTTAAATAGTAGTAGTCAGTAGTAAATATAAGTTTTAAATATACATGTACTTGTATAGACTATTTTAATAATTATAATATTAAAGTTTTTATGTAAATAAAATAAGGAAAAAAAACTTTCGTTAAAATTATTTACAGTATTATAGACAGGTCAGGTTGTTGTTGCTATGGAAACATATTTTGATATTGCATTATTTTGTCACTTTCTAGCTTCCCTGGCCGCAGATGCTAAAGGTAAAGGTAATAAGGCGAAAGGTAAAGAAAAAGGGGGGAAACCTACACAAGAAACTGAGGTAAGTTGATGTCAGTTGTGACTATGTTATCAACTTAGTGCAATAACTGGTTGACTTCTTTTAAAATTAGAAGGATTTAACCTGTTACTGCACTAAACTTCTAAAGTGACATTATGTCATTCTTTTCTATGCAGATTAATCTTGACAATACATCACATACATTTAAGCATCCATTTTTAGGTTAACGAAGAGCTGTTTTCCTCACTTTGGTGTTTGGGGAGGTGTAGGATTCGCCATCCCACTTCGGTTAAGTTTTTGCATGTGAATTAATATCTTAAAAAGTACTGAAGGGAATAGGTTGAAACTTCACACACTTGTTCTCTTTGTTTATCTATCAAGATGATTATCTTACTTGATGTGCACAGGTCCCACAACTCTGAGTCACCTTTATACAGAGTTATGCCCCTTTACTTACTGTCAAGCACTGAGAATAGTCTAGCCCACTGTCTAACAGACACCTCTTGTTATTACATACATGTAATTAGGTACCCTATGATGCCTTGGTTGGGAATACAATATTTAACAACAAGCAGTAGATATTTGTATACTTGTATTAAACATTGCTTGTTTATGAACATCTTTTTTAATTTTCATGCAAATTTTGGCAAACATCGAGTTGTGAAATAAAAGTTGAACATAGTTTGTATTATAACAGAACAGTCTTGTTATTATAACTGTTTATATTTCAGCCAGCTGACAGTCCTGACTTTATAAACCCATTGTTAGAAGGTGCTGATTATATAGATGGTCAACTGTGGGTGGCCGGTAACAGGGTTCTAATAAACCTCAATCTCTCACGTATGTATTCAACTTTAATGTTAATTTCAATCATATAAATGCTCTGTTACTTAATATTTGTAGGTCTGAGTCGAATGACTAATAAAGCACATTTTTGGTTAATGATAAACATCAAGTGACAACTCTTCTTTTCTGATTTAAATGTGCCTTTCTCTGCCATTAATGCTAGAAGTTTGGTTTTTGTGAAGAAGATTTTTCTGTCATTAAACACATCAATAATTGATTGATTGATTGATTGATTGAGTCAGCACAGCAACATAGTGAAATATACACAAAATTTTAAATAATGTGAATGAATTAGTAATAATTAGCCATATTTGACGGGACTTTATAAATTCTTCGACTAACGCGGAATTTTGAGTAAAGCGATTTTGACTTATTGAAAGTCAACTGTATTCTATTTATCTTGTACCCGAAATAAAAACTGTTAAGTGAAAAAGGATAATTTTTTCATAGTGTAACACTAACATATAGGGTGTCATTACACTATGTTTGTATTATAACGAAAATGACGTCATGTCAAAATATATGCAGGGCAGTGCAATAGCATTTTTACCGAGTCGCAAAAGCGGCATGGGTATGCTATAATATAATTTTATTCAAAGTTTTAAATCAATTTTGTACTGAACCCACAATTTTTCAAAATCGTCTATATATAAAATTGAACGTCTGAAATATTACAGGAAACAAGATTGGTGAGACAGGCCTTGAGGCCCTACTGAAGGCCATGCAGTATCAAACAACATTGTGTATGGAAAACAAAAGTACCGGAACAGGGCTTATGAGATTATTAGTCGGGGTAAGTTAACATGGGCTTGATTGATTTTATTTTCTGGGGCGTCCGTGGCCAAGTGGTTAAGGTCGTTGACTTTAAATCGCTTGCCCCTCACCGCTGTGGGTTCGAATCCCGACAGGGACTTTTGGATTCTTTCATGTGAGGAAGCTATCCAGCTAGATTACAGAACGTCAGTGGTTCTACTCAGTTGCCCGTTCGTGCCTGAAATAATGCACGGAAGGGCATCTGAGGTCTTCCTCCACCAGTAAAGCTGCAACTTCGCCAAATGACCTATACTGTGTTGGTGTGACGTAAAACCCAATCAAACAAACAAATTTTATTTTCTTTATAGTCAAACGAGAACCAAGTCTATATCTATACAGTACCAGAGCAGGCAGAAATTGAACTAGTTCTTAAGATTGACTATTCAAATAAAAGTGGTGTTTACTTCTCACAATGCTGTCCATAGAACACTGTGTTAAGATTTTTGCAAGCAACTTTAATAATATCTTGTTAACCACTAAAGGTATTATGCTGAAACTTCATATGTTACACAATGTATTTCTTTGGGGGGTCATAACTATGGTATAAATTCTAACTGAATTATTCCCCTTTGTGAACTTATCACATAACTTATAACTTAGCAAAACTATCCTGCAATAACCTGCTTGTTCTGTTACTTTCAAGCACATTGAGAACAGATGACTATATTGTACAATACATGTAGTATCTGAACGATACCTGAAGTATGATTCTAGGCTCTAATTAAAAGGCTAACCCCTTTTTAAGCCTGTCTTCTTTTTGACAATATTTCGACATTACTTCATGCTGGTCTCATCACTATACTATTATTTATTATATTTATTTATATGTACATATACAACTTTCAGTTTACAATGCTGCATAATTGTTTACAACATAATGCTACAGTTGACATATAAAATGTAATATTCTTGATTGTTTGTATTATTATATTTTGACATTTAATCTTTAACTTGCAAGCATTGCACTGCTGCTTTATTTTACCATATTGCAAACATTTATGAATTTTAAATATTTATATTTAATAAAAAGGCCATGGACCTAACATACAGTTGCTAATTGATTGATTGATTGATCGATTTTCTTTAGACCGGTCAGTCAAGGATAACCTACGAAAGTGCAAGCACTTATTTCCAGTAGGGTCCTTACCTCAGCAGACTCCAGAGACAACTATGAGATACAAGGGAATCTGGGAACCAGTCCCTAGCTCTTATTGCATAGGCCCCTTGGTTCTTTAAATACCCAGTGTATAGCACTGTTACATGCAGAATAATGTTTTGAAAGTGATTATGCTCTGATTTGTGATAAAAAAAGCAAACATTTGATTTTATTTACAATTTTAAGTTTTAGTTAATAGTAATTATTGTTTAATTAATTATTTTTTTGCAGAAGAACAAGGTACGATCCAGCCATGAGTTACTACAGAAGATTACAGATATCATGCTACCTAAAGATCCTTTCTATAAACCTCCACCACAGACCCCGGATGTTACTGAGGCTTAAACACAAATACAGATTTATTTACTTTAATATAGTTACAACACCTTAATTGAATGATTTGGAAAAAATTCTTTGACTGGATTCCCAGAAAAAAATCTTTTATTGGATTCAATGGAAATTTTTTTTTACTGGATTTTTGGAAAAAAAAAAATTTTGATTTCTAAGACTGTTTGATTGGATTCCTTGGAAAAGAAGTTCTTTAATTGCGTTCCTTGGAAAAATTCTTTTATTGGATTCCTTGAAAAAATTCTTTTACTTGATTCCTTGGGAAAATTATTTTATTGGATTCCATGGAAAAATTCTTTCATTGGATTCCTTAAAATATTTTGACTGGATTCTGTAGAAAAATTCTTTGAAGTCATAATTCTTTGAAAATTTTAAAAGATTTTGAAAAATAAAGATAGTGTATGAACTGGAAAATGAAACAGCTATCTTCTGATATCGTTAAACGTGTTTATGAATGTGATAACAAAAACTGTGATTTTTAGATATAATAAATCAGTGCAGAATTTTGTCATAATTTGTTCTATGCTGAATTTAAGGTCAACATTAAAACATGATATATTAGTAATACTTATATCAATATATATATGTGTTAAATAAACAAAGTTATTATAAAATGTGCTAAAATGTTAAATGTAAAAGCCTATAGCTATAACTTGGCTTTTAAATTATTTTAGAAGTTTAGTCAACATTAACACATATAATACTAGTATAAAGCCTAACATTGTTGAAATGTGTGAAATTTGAACGGAAAAGTGTATATCTTATAAAGGTTACTTTCTGTTAAATGTTAGATAATAATTCTAGGATAATGAATATGCAACTTATTGAAATAATGTTGTCTTTTATGTAATAAACTTTAAAACACTCGCATTAACATTTATAGAAAAGTTTTTTGTTATTTTTTTTAAAACGTCCATATTTTCTGTGATAATGTTTGTTTCTTATGTTCAGAGTTATTTATATATGTACATGTTTGGTTATTTTATTTAATATATGTTATTGAATGTATTTTTTATTTCGATAACATATTTATTACTTAACAGTTTGAAAGTTTAGAGTCATAAATGCATATTATGTGTTACATAATTATTATGTTATGTATGTAAAATATGCAACTTGCATTTGTGATGAATAAAGAAATCTCCTCTAAAAACCTCTTTTTGTAACTGTTCTGCTACTTCTAAACACGTCACTGTTTCATGACTGTTTGCTTGGATTCCTTAAAATAATTATTTGACTGAATTCCTTTAATAAAATGGATTGAATTCCATAGAAAAATTCTTCGATTGAATCACATAGAAAAATTCTTTGATTGAATTTCCTGGAAAAAAATGTCTCTGTTATGAGGGTGCTATTATCTTGTTCAAGTAAGCTTTGAATTTCTATTACAATCTGTCATAACTGTATAGTGCATATAGAAATGAAATTGACAATGTTTATATTAACCTCACGTTTACGAACGACTATTTGCCAACATGTAATGATGAATTTGTAAGTTTTACAGAATCTAGGATGATGGCAATATTCTTTTATTCATTAAGAACAAATTTGGTTCAGGACTTTCTGAACTTAGAAAATTCTACATTATGTTCGCTCTTGCTTTACTATCAAGCTATTGGAATAGTCGAGCACGCTGTCGCTCCAACACTTGCTGTTAATTTGTGATCCTGATCTTCAAATTTTGGGCCAGGTAATGCACTGCAGACGTTTGTCTTGATATATGAATCAACAGCTGGGTAAAAAAAGTGAAGTCCTTCCTTAAAATTCATTTTTTAATGTTACATTTTCATTTTACATGATTTTACATTCTAAATTGGGCTATAAATTCATGCATGATTTTGGAAAGAATATAACAATAAAAAAAACATCAAACGTAATTATCGAGCTTATCTTTAATAGAACTACATAATATATATGTACATTTGATATGTATGTAAAAAATAACATTCCTATGAAGCAACATGGCCTGAGAGGTTAATAACATGAAAGCTAATGATGCAGCCCGCCTCTGCAATATCTAATGTTGAAAATTAGTTCTGTCAAACGTTAGGAAATGACTGAATTTGTCTTTTGTTTTATCATATTAAGACGAATTTTGCAACTTTCCACCAATGGATGAAGACCATAACCACTTTACGTGAGCGACACAAAATTTGATTTTTGAGAAAAAAACAACAAAAAAAAAACAATCATTTATATATGGGGACTCCAAAAATGTCAAAAAACTGATATTGCAGTTTTAATTAGGTCTTATTGTCACACTTGTATTTTGCGATAATTTTATATCAATCATCTAATATCAATATTAATACATATTTAAACATATTGTGCTAGTTAATCGTGATTTTTTGTTGCGAGTTTTTTTAAAGAGATAAATAACAATTCTACAATGTTACATACTTTCAAATATAGAATATAAATAGTTCTCTATAACTCCACTAAGCTAGTTCTAATTAAACGAGTTTTTATATTTTTGTCAAATACACTAACACACTGATGATAATTTGTGTCAAATACAACTTTAACACACACACCACCGAGCTCAGGGTTCATATTTCCAAAAGGACCAAAATATATACAAGAAAACACCGAGGGATAAAATTATCACTAAACCAATATTTAGGCCTATTTTGGCGTATTTGTTTTGTTCAAGGCACGCAACTTTCTCCATGTGTAACCGCAGTTGTCTTTCCTTTTCTTCGTCGACCTCGTTCGTGATTCCACAAACGTAATTCAACGCTTTTTCCGCGCAATGCATCTCTGCAAAGCAAGAATTAAAATATTAATAATGCTATTAAAAGGATAAGAAATCCAATAGTAAATCGTTATATACATTGAAAGACTGTGTGTTTCTGTTTAATAAAAAGCTTGCTCCTCAAATAAAATAAAAGAGAGATTTTCAGAAGTAAGAAACTCGAAAAGTGCTAGTTAATGATTGATACCGGCAGGATTTAAACTGAAATTCAAGTTCTAATTTTAATTTGTCTGCCTCTAGAAATTTAGATATAATATAGGTGTCGAACCTTTATCTTCTTCTGGTTCATCAAGTTTCGGGTCCCTGTAGTGATGTTTTTCCTCCACGGAGAACACGTGCATGTTATTATCACCTGTTGCTGCAAGATTTGTGAAACCATTCTCCTTATCTTTATCTAGTTTGTCAGGTTCTGTCTCTTCTATATACGGAGCCGATTTCCTCGTCCAAAATGTCGTACGTGTCAACTTAACAAGAAAAAAATGTTTGTTTTATAAAAGTTGTGTATCTTTTTAAGTTTGTGATAAAACATTTATACATACTTTACGTTAATATTTAACAAACAGCAATGAGCTGGCAAGAGATTTGATCAAATTAATGCATATTTATAATACTTGATGGAAATAAAAACGTAAATATATAAAAAAATATATGAAAACGTTGAATAATTACTTTTGAATCGTTTTAACATGCCATATGAAATCATGTACTAAGGTTAAAAAGAATTAGATATGATTATTTATAAAAAAAATAGTTTCCTACAGTTTGATGTGAGTTATACAATTATTATGTAAAACATTTGTTTTCTGTGTACTTTTGCCAATTACGAGCATATTAGCTATGGCATATAACGCTATTTAAATGTATGTACATGGATTCCCTAAGACGACTTAAACATTAGCATACAAATTCATTCGTATTTTTAGACACAAAACTGTTCATAAATTTTACATAAACTTATTTACATATATAAAGATGAAAATGAACTTAAACATTACGTTTTAATCAAGATATATTAAACAGGTAAATTGTAATTAATAAGAATTTAGTCTCAAGTGTAAAAAAATACTGATATATTGATATTATGAAAAAGCAATAAGATTGACAATTCGAGCAAAACAACAGACACGAGAAAGCAATTAACCCACATTATTTATCAATGTCACGGCATTTAGACTTCTGCAATGTGGTTTATAGAATATAGCGTTTTTATGAGGTTTGCCACATCCCTGAAACAGTTAATTCTGCTGGTGAAGCAAATTTGACACTTATTGTACTAGGTACAAGTTTGTTGTTCATACAAATTATATAAGAAAGGTCATGCCGATACAGTTAACTATTTTTATGTGTCGTTTACCTGTGTCTTTTGCGGTTTTCAAAAAATATCATAAGAATGTTAACGCTAACTGGAGATATCACTGTCAAAGTCTAAGGATGTTTTGCTGTTATGTAATTTATTGAGGGATTGTCACTATGGTTTCTTGATCAACATAAGTTAATGAACTTGCATATATTTCTAAAAAGTAAATACAGTGAAATGATGTTCACATTAATTGGCTTTGCTGACAATCTTCATTTAAGTTGAAAACGACCCGGCGCTGAATCTAGATACTTTGTAACTGTAAAATGATGACAATCTCCATTTAAGTTGAAAAACGCATACCAAAATGTTACAAAAACTACCATAAATAAAAACAGTAAAACTAAAATGACAAGCTTAAAAATTATAAGATTAAAACGACAATCAGAGTAGAATTAAAACTACTTACGTATTTTTCATGAGGTCTTCCGGTAAAATAACTGATGACAATAGCCGTAACACCAGTCAACAGTGTGATAAATAACGAGAAATACATGTAATGAAAGTTTTTCAAGATGGCAGGGCGATTGTCATCTTTACCACAGCCTCCACTACTGTAGTAGACAAATGCCAAGATCATCCGAATAACACCAGTCAGAAAAGCCAACATCAACGCCCAGAATGCTCCCTGTAAAATTAGAACATACTATACTCAGAAAAGCCAACATCAACGCCCAGAATGCTCCCTGTAAAATTAGAACATACTATACTTTACAGTCTTTTACAACATCAACGCCCAGAATGCTCCCTGTAAAATTTAGAACAAACTATACTTTACAGTCTTTTACAACATCAACGCCCAGAATGCTCCCTGTAAAATTTAGATCAAACTATACTTTACGGTCTTTAACAACATTAACGCCCAGAATGCTCCCTGTAAAATTAAGAACAAATTATACTTTACAGTCTGTTACAACATCAACGCCCAGAATGCTCCCTGTAAAATTTAGAACAAACTATACTTTACAGTATTTTACAACATCAACGCCCAGAATGCTCCCTGTAAAATTTAGAACAAATTATACTTTACAGTCTTTTACAACATCAACGCCCAGAATGCTCCCTTTAAAATTTAGAACAAACTATACTTTACAGTCTTTTACAACATCAACGCCCAGAATGCTCCCTGTAAAATTAGAACAAACTATACTTTACAGTCTTTTACAACATCAACGCCCAGAATGCTCCCTGTAAAATTTAGAACAAACTATACTTTACAGTCTTTTACAACATCAACGCCCAGAATGCTCCCTGTAAAATTTAGAACAAACTATACTTTACAGTCTTTTACAACATCAACGCCCAGAATGCTCCCTGTCAAATTTAGAACAAACTATACTTTACAGTCTTTTACAACATCAACGCCCAGAATGCTTCCTGTAAAATTTAGAACAAACTATACTTTACAGTCTGTTACAACATCAACGCCCAGAATGCTCCCTGTAAAATTTAGAACAATTATACTTTACAGTCTGTTACAACAGCAACGCCAAGAATGCTCCCTGTAAAATTTAGAACAAACTATACTTTACAGTCTGTTACAACATCAACACCCAGAATGTTCCCTGTAAAATTTAGAACAAACTATACTTTACAGTCTTTTACAACATCAACGCCCAGAATGCTCCCTGTAAAATTAGAACAAACTATACTTTACAGTCTTTTACAACATCAACGCCCAGAATGCTCCCTGTAAAATTTAGAACATACTATACTTTACAGCCTGTTTCATAGATTGATCCCCATAAACTCATGGTCAATTAATAAAAAGCCAACATCAACGCCCAGAATGCTCCCTGTAAAATTTAGAACATACTTTACTTTACAGTCTGTTTCATAGATTGATCCCCATAAACTCATGGTCAATTAATAAAAGGCAAAATAATGGATTTAAAATGACATTTAGACACATTGTTCCAGTTGTCCCGGACATAAACACAAAAATTGAATGTTTGAAAATTCCACAAGCTTTAAAGGCCAAATGTACCTCAGCAATGCTATCATTTCAATTTGTCAAAAACTTTCTATTTTTGGTATCTCGTTACAGTTTTCAGGCAAAAAAATACAATTTGCAATAGAATAGAAACTATGTTATAAATAAACTTAACTATTAGCTCTAAATAGACATTGCGGTAAAATCAATTAGTATATGAAGAGCATTAATAATGAATTTAAAAAAATACCTACATTTTACAATAATTAGCTAAGCTTACATACAACATTACAGCACATTCAGCGCAAACATCTACTATTAATCCCAAAATTATATAAAAACATAACACTTAAACATAAAGAAGACATTTCTAAAAGAATTATGAAAAAAAAGGCCAAAATAATAAAATAAAAGAAATTTGATTAATAAAATAATAAAAAAATTTTTATCATTAAATGATCAAATACATGAGAAAAAGTTAGTCAAATGATACTTATAGACCAAAAACAAAAATCAATTAATAAGCATATTACTGTTCATCTAACCACGGAACTAGTAACAGCTACGATAGAAATAATAAAGGCTGCAAAAATAGGCCGCGAGCCAAATAATTTTGTTATTCTTGTATATAATGAAACTTGACCCCCTTTTGTCTCCTTTAGCACTGCGTACCCACGCTATTTGACACGCCCACCATGATGAGTATGAAAAGTCTGAAATGAAAATGAAATGCTTTCTATAAAACCTAATCTTTGTATCATAAAACAAAAAAATCATATGCCCTCATTTGCAATCCCAATCACACGTGACGTCAGAGACGTCACATAGTACTACACATACGTATTTCAAAATAGAGAAAATGGGAATCCCTAAAGAAAGTCCAAAAAGCAAAACTGAAAATCCTGCAGGCTTGATTTGATTGAGCCTGTTCATGGACGGAAGTGTCAAGTGCAAAGTACAGTCCGAGACCCTGAGCACCGGCTTAAGCAGAATTCAACATTAAAACATGAAAATGGCGAAATTATAAATTAAGAAACATTCGCAGATTTGTTCAACACATTTCTTTCCTCAAAATACTTCCCCGAAAAAGATACCTTTATATAATGATGAAATATTCTATATAATGCTATATAAATCTTACCTGCCTACAAGCATTTGTTCTCTTTGAGAACAGTTCTTTCTTATTTTAGTATAAATATCAACAGTGAACAGGGTACTGGCGCTGTTAAAGATCGAGTCAAGGTCACTCATAAGAGCCGCTATCATCACCGCCATCATAAGACCACGTAAACCTGAATATAAGACCATGTAAATCTGAATATAAGACCACGTATACCTGAATATTAGACCACGTAAACCTGAATATAAGACCAGGTTTACCTGCACATAAGACCACGTAAATCTAAATATAATTCCACGAAAATCTGAATATGAGATCACGTAAACCTGAATATACATGTTCGTATGCAATCAAGACTTTTCGTTATTCAACACATCGGAAATAAAATTGAGATATATAGGTAAGGGTCTTTGCTTCCTTAAACATGAAGCTAAAAGATGTGTCAATAAAGGAAAAGAAATAAAAAGTTTAAGTTTGTTTTAAAGGGAAAATATAAATATTGCAATATCTAAACGACTGACTACGGGATATAGTAAATTTTTATATTTACAATTTAGTTGGAAAATTGTACGGACATATCTTTAAAGTAAAATGTATTTAGACGATTCGGTATTTTACAAATAATCTATGACTTTTGTCATTTAAAATTGCACATAAGTTTCAGTAGTTTCAGTAGTTCAGTAGTATTTTTTTCTTTGTTATCAAAAATTGCCATTTGTACACACCGAAACATATAATTTTGACGAAAAGAATTTTGACAAAATATATTGGCATTTAAGATAACGCAGAAAAGGGAAAACTAAAATATGTACAAAGTGCAATTTCTGAAAGTCTGAACCACATCTTGTTTCTGTAACCCACCTTCTGGCATGATACCGAGGACAAGTCTCGGATAGGCTATACTGCTACATCCAGCCTCGCTTTGACAAACATAGTTACATATTTGTGGGTCAACACATGCAACTTCGTCTGTAATAACAAAAGAAAAAAAAGAACTATGAACTAACAACAAGTTGCAGCTAAGTCGGGTTTTTCTTCATATATTGTTACGTTAACCTTTCAAAATTTTCGAAAGGATAAGCACTGATCCGTTTCATAAAATAACGATTGAACTAAAACCTTTAAATTTTACTTCTGAGTTTCTCTTAAAAAATTTCTTGAAGAAAGTCAAGGAAAGTACTTATAAATATGCAAATTATTAAGTCAATCTCATTTAAATATTAAACGCTACTCATTCAAATAAACTCCTAATCAACGCTACGCATTAAAATCAGCTTCTAATTACCGATACGCATTAAATGCAGCTCCTAATTAATGGTATGCATTAAAATCAGCAATAAACGCTACGCATTAAAATCAGCTCATAATCAACGCTTCATGCAAGAAATAACCTAGTAGACATGAATTTTAGTCAGATTGATCATTAAGTATTACAAAAGACTCGTAATGAAAGATCACATATAAAGTATGTAAAAGGCACAGTATAAAATGGTGACCGTGTAACGCCAAAGGCCTTTGTGCCTATGGGGTGACTTTCATACAATTGGTTTTAATGATCTTTTGTCAAAGAGGCTTGCTTATACAATCCACTGAATTAACATGCTTATTTACTGTTAACAGAACGTCAATCAAAACAAACAAAATATAGAGGATATTTGTTTGTTTGTGTGTAAGATGAAATTTTATTTCATCGAGTGGGCTTTAAAAACAGTATTCTCACGAGTGGATGTTTGATTCATAGGGATATCATTTGGATTTGTTAGTCATACACCTTTTTAAAAGAAAGAAAACTTATATGAGGATTGTAACAGACAATAAATAAAGTGGATAGAAAATTGGAAAACTTGGAAGCCTTACGAACGCTGGGTCGTTTTACATATTCTTCGACTGAAAGCTGCCATTGCTTTGCAAGTTTTCATAAAGCATACTGCAGTTTTTGCTCGTAGGATACTTAAATATTCCCAAATGTCATCAAGAGCAGTTTTGCATGTGGAAGGAATGTATTTTTCAGACTGTAAAAATGAAACAAAAAATTAAAGAGACGATATTTGGTGATTGGTAATTTTAATGAATAGAAGTAACTTACTGTAAGTTTTCTTCTTTTTATTACTTTTGACATATAAGTTATTTATCAATTTCAGCTTTGCTTTTCTTTAAACAGCCTGATATTGACGGAATAATCAGCAAAAATAAAATTGAGGTACAACATGGGGAAAATCTGAAAAAAGTAGTTTCGTCATTGAAAAGTGTGAAATTATATTTTGATAATTTTCACTGTGAAATTATCAAATATAATTTTCACGGATAAATCAGTAATCCACTGAAAAGCATAAAATAAACAATACTAATTTGATAATGATATGTATTTGTTTAATCAACTCGATTTAATTACAGCTCTGAATTGTATCACGCCTTCATTCTACACAGGCATGGGCCGGTCTCCTATGGTAGACAAGGTATACATGCTATATTTTATTACCAGCGTAGAGAACTCTGCTGATCATCCCAGGCATCACCATCATAAATAATGGTAAAACTTTTATAAAGCCGGCCATCAGTGTGGCTCCTTGAGCATGTGACAATCTCTTGGCCGCTGTACAATCACCTGACAAGAAAATACATAAATAGCAATGACGTAAAGTAAAGATCAGCCCCTTTTTTAGAAACGCATTGACAGTTTTAACAAAGTTGTATATATCCGTCACCTTCCACACAGAAGAAGGTCCTTGCAAGAAAATAGGAATGAATTAGACC